TCTGGATCTTTGTTGGGCGATAGGTTGTTGGTTGGTTGGTCCGTTGCCAGCCAGCCAGCCAGCCAGAGTTCCTTGTTGCTTATTCTTATTATTGTGGCCATCCATGTGATCTTCAGTGTTAGTATCGAGTGAGCGTAGGCGGCAGTTGTTGGTGTGTGATGTATGTCTGTAGTTTGTTGGAAATGCCTTTCGTGACGCGCCAAGTCTATGAACCATCACATAGAAGCACTGACTTACTTGACGTTAGTGTTGGGAATCCGGATCTTGTTCAGGCTTTATACTGAGTGCAGTAGATCTCCACGCTGATATGAAATTAATGAAGGCCTGTTTTGGTGTCTTTCCGATCCTGACTTTGACGTCCTCATCTGTGCCGCCGTCGCCTGTAGTTGAAAGGATACTGCCTAGGTAGGTAGGTAGGTAGGTAGGTAGGTAGGTAGGTAGGTAGGTAGGTAGGTAGGTAGGTAGGTAGGTAGGTAGGTAGGTAGGTAGGTAGGTAGGTGAAAGAGACTACTTCCTTTCGATTTCTCCCGTTGATGATGATTAGTGCTTGTTGTTGGTTGGGTATCTTCATCACTTGTGTCTTCTCTACGTTCACCTGATGGAAGTCTTGTCTTCGCTGCCTCGCCTCGCCTCACTTCGCCTCTTTTGTCAACTTGTTGGTTTTTGCTTGTAGATCTTCGAGTTTATGTGACAAGACATTAGACATAAATCATCATCGTCGGCGAAATCCAAATCTTCTGGGATCTTTTCACCGGTCCAGCCAACGTATGCCCGTCTTCTCGCTCCTCACAGTTTGTTGCATGATCCAGTCCACCACGATCGGGAAGATGATCAGTGTTAGTAGGTGGCAATCTTATCTTACTCCTGTCTTCACTCCAAAGGTGTTATTGAACTTTCCATTGTGAATCACTTGGTATGTAGCTTCATCATATAGCATATAGCTGCTGTTGAGTGAGGTTGATGAAGGTTTTTGACACTAAAATCGAAGTGTTGAAGCAGTTTCTAAATTACTTCTTGGTCGACGCTGTCGAAGGCTTTCTCAAAATCCATGATGTTGAGGTGAAGTGCAGCGTAGCGATGCAATTTGATCCACACATAATTTGCTACTTCTGATACCAGCCGACCTGTTCCCGTCGTAGTTTCGGATCCTGAGCATGTCCTAGTCTATACAGGATGACGCGGCTTTTGTCGAAGGATTTGCGTTCATGGATGGTTCTGCGGTTGCTGGTTGTTTTTCTGGACGAGTTGTAGGTGGTGGTCGACTGAAGAATTTTTTTGAAGTGCTAAGACCATCGTTCCCTTTGTTTCCCCTCTTTGGTTCTACCTAAGTTCCCTTCACTACCTGTCACTGGTTTCATTTGCTTTGTTCTCTTCCCTCCTAGAGAGTAACCTGGTTATTTGATATAATGTCAGGTCTCTGCCTCTCATACCTGTAGCCTGTTCTGCTTCACTTGCTAGTGTTTCGTAAGAGTGTCTTTTGTCTTTCCGTGCACTCTCCAGTGTAGTGTTTTTTAGGTTGTACTCAATTCCTCTTTTCGTTGTTTATCCCTTCACTGCACTGGTTCATCTTCTGCTTCACCAATCTTCCTCTCCTCTGTCAGCTTCTGTGTATCCATTGAGATCCATTCTTTGTCTTGTTTCTTCTTCCTTCCTAACACGGTTATACAGGTTTCCTTCTACATCTCTTTCAAAAAGTCCCAGTGTTCATCCACACATGTTTCTTTCACGAATGTTGCTTAATTTCTCCCATTTTTTCCTGATGACTGCAGTGAAGATTTTCTTTGTAGTTTCATCTTCAGTTCAGTTTCTTTTCTGGGTGTTGAACTGTGGTCTATCATCAACTTCTTTGAAGGCTTTCAACTTGATTTGAAGGTTCCTAGTGAGTTGTGTGAACCTTCTTGATCTTGTATCCAGTAGGCTATGTCTCCACTCTCTTGAGATTGAGATGAAGTCGATCTGATTTTTAGTGTAGTGTGTCTTGGTGTCTGGTAAAGTCCATGCTACTTTGTGAATATCCCTGCATTTGTACACACTGCCTCCGATCACCAAATCGTTGAATACACATAAATCTGCAAATAGTTCGTCATTCTCATTCATCACTTCACCGAGTGCTTCTCGACCCATGATCAGTTCTCTTCCTGTTTCCCCGCTCCCAGTTTGGCATTCATATCACCACACCCATTAGAATTTGATGTCGCCATCGCCAACCGAGGTGGGGTCTTGTGTATTACTGATTGGAGTTGTCCATAGAATTTCTCCCTCTTCTCCTGATCTGCATTATTCGTAGATGCGTATCGTAACACTGTATGATTTTGACTTTCCCTCTTTTTGAGTGAATCCTGCTGTCATGATCCTGGAGGAGACTGGTTCCAACTACATGAGCTCCCTCCCTCAATAATCTTGGGGACATCATGATAGCCACTCCGGAACTCAGTGTGCTCGTCGTTGTCATCTTGGTGACAATATCGGAGTAGATTATTGACTCTGCAGTTGACAGTTTGGAGAGTCCACTTCCATTCCATCTGCAGATTTCTCGCAGATTCCAACTCTAAGACTTATATGCTATACCTTCTCATCTCGTTTGCGACCTTAGCAGCCTTGCTAGGTTTATACACGGTGTAGACATTTCATGTCCCCACGTTTACTTTCGCTTTCATCGAGAGAAGAGAAGACACATCGGCCAATTGGCTTCCCGAAGGCTTTCGCCAACCGGCGTCATTTCGTCTCTCCGATTCCAGCGAGGAATAAGTTCGTTTTTATTTTTTATATTTTCTTTGTGCTTTGAAGTTTCTGTAGCAGTTGGATTGGTTTCCGAGGTAGGGTTGCTAGCCCTACGCTCGACCTTCCCTCTTTGCCCGGGCTTTGGACCGGCTAGTAACTAGTGAACTAGTTAACTAGGTGAGGTTGGATATATTGTAGATACTGAATACTGATTACCTTTAGACTCCAAAGTGTGTTTGACTGATATCCGACCGAGAAATTAGACCTTAATTTGTGAATAGAAAGTCATAAATTTCCTAAATGTGAATGTTGTCTATCCTACCAAGGGCTTTACTTTTTTCCCCCTGCTAATTCAATCAGTAATTGATTACAGTCTTCATAACGGATTGCACGTATTTCATCCACCAGGTGGAACGTTATGGTTAGTTTTTATTTTTGAGTGTCATAGATCTGGTTTTCAGAAAAAAATGACAATTATCCAATGAAAATTCTAGTTGTCTATCTTTTCTCATTTATAAATTATCGTAAATACTTTAAGCACACATTTCCCTATATACCACACTTTGAAAAAATGTTTTGCACATTCATCATTACCTTGATTTCAGGTGTTCAAAGTAGCTGATTCATGCAATCTCATTTTCAAATCTATGAAAGCACTAGTAGTTGTACTTCATTGTCCAGTTAATTTGCAGACAAGTTTCTTGATATCCAGTTGTGTATGCTGGGTTCGCTAGCATAAATATATCAGCTTTTGTGACAGTTATCAGTTGTGTTCCTTTTTTCAAAGATTTCACAATAGCTTATCATTCCTAGTGTTCTGACTCCAAGCACTCGGCCATTTTACCCATGATGGTGAATTCATTGACTTACTTTCGTCTCTTCACTTACTGGTTTCATATTACTAGTGAGATAAACAAACTTATGCATAGGCTTCTTTTATATCTTGTATCAGTTTTATTTCCCACGTTAAAGCCCTAACTACAAGAAGGGACGTAGTTCTTTCATTCGTAAATTATGTCAATGATTGTAGAAATCTTGATTTCATTCTGTATTCTGTTTCACCAATCAGTAGTTACATGGCTGCGGTTTTGCATGAGAATAAATCATTGTCGAAAATGACTTCTTCTACAACAAGGCTAACTGTTACTATGACTGTAAGTATGGTATGTGCTTTGTACCACTAAAGTGAAAAGTATTCCTGCAAGATTGGCAGGAACCTGTGCCTGCGCTCACCCTCTGTGGTGAGCCTTCGAAAGTAGTCAAAAAGATCGTGTGCCTGGGTACTTGTGGGAGTGGTGAAATTTCCAAGCACATATCGAAAGCCAGAGTGACATACATCAATCTGGGACACCTTTGGCACCGTCACGACGTCAGTGTGACCGTAAAAGGTCGGGTTTACAACGCCTCGGTGAGAGCAGTTCTGCCCTAAGACTACGAAACCTGACCTCTCCGAGCTGAGGATGTGCGACAAATTCATGTGTTCGATCATCGTTGTCTCCATAGGATTACTCGTATCCGGTGGCATCACCATGTAAGTAATTCGGAGGTGCAACAGCGTGTTTGGGCATGATAGGGATCGTCTTTCAATAAGTGAAGTCATCTGGAAACACTGGCTTCGATGGTTTGGACATATGTTGAACATGTCGTCTCAACGGCTTCCACGCCGTTCATTGTTTGCTAACCCCGGAAGCGGATGGAAGAAATGGAGGCGTGGTCAGTGTACGACGTGGTGGCATGAAATGAAGGATGGTTGTATCGGGTTAGCATCTGTTGGTTCATCACAACTCTGAGTGGAGTCAGAGAGATCACTAACTCAGTGGTTTGAGACATTATCAGATGTGTCTCAGAATCGAAACCAGTGGCGGTCATGCTGTAGCTTTCTTTTATCTTCTGCTGCTGAAAAGTAATGAATGTTTTGTTTTGAGTGTATCTTACTGGACTGGCCTCCTAATCATTCTATTCTTGTGTTTTATTTTTATCCACTTCCCATCGCTTTATTTCTTCGAAATGTTGTTAAATCATTTTATGTGGTGCATTTCTTGGTGCCCTTACTGTACCATGTTTGTGTTCTGATAATAATAATAATAATAACCGACTTGCGTCATATTTTAAAGAGAAACTTATCACGTTAAGATTATCCATCCAACGAATTACCTATATATATATATATATATATATATATATATATATATATATATATATATATATATATATATATATATATATATATATATATATATATATATATATATATATATATATTTCTCTCCTCTCTCTAGGTGTTGATTTGCCCACTTTGGAGCTTGCTCAGCTGAATGGTCCCGATATAGTAAGCATATTGTTACTATGTAATTAAATAGATGTCATGTTTCTGTGCTTCGTTGATAAATTTTAACAGGGCAAGAAAGACAAAATCTATGAGATAAAATGTGCACATCTTACCTCATATGACCTCTTCACAGTTAAGAGTCCCAGTAAATATTATAGGTTCATATTGAATGATTCACTTGAAATTACTAACTCTCAAGTGATGTTGGCTGCGAGATCCGAGCCCACGTCACTCAGTGCAACCTGCAGTCTGTGACGTTACCCTTGAGAGACTCTGCAGATATGCTCTGCTCATCGGCGCCAATAAGCATAAAATCTAGGTCGGGTACAGTTTTCTACTAAAGCAAGTAGCGGACTACGAAAAAAGGAATTGAACAAGTTTAACCCAGTCGTTCCGTAAGAAATATAGTTAAGTAATGTAATGTATTCCCAATGCAACTATCAGTTACCTAGACAAACAAAAGTTGGCCCCTTCTTTTCTTCTATGCACACTCTTATATTATTAGTGTGCTTAAATTTACTTTGCTCTGTTTGTTAATGTCATGATGCAAAGGAATATAGGTATAAGAGGATTGATGTATATTCATCTGTATTAAGAACAGAATCTCACTTGACCCTATACAACTAACTTACTGTGACTCTGAATGCTGATTGGACTCCTTCAAACGAGAACTGTAAATTAACCGCAGAGCTAAGTAAAGTGTATTCCGCATTCGTCATTAGAAGACATTTAAATCATTCCTTTCTTCTACTTACTCAGTGAGTAACTGCACTGTTGAAAAACATTATATTTACGTTCACGATTTAAATCTTCATTATACTGTGCGTCAGTCAAACTGATCACAGCCAATCTATTTTGGTCATACCAAGTCCTCTAGCACTTGGTAATCTAACTGACCTTTATTTTTAAAGTCAGTCAGTGGACAGAAGTCGATCTACTCTATACGTTTTGTTTTTCGTCATCTGCAAGGGGATATCTATGAATTTTAGTAAACGTACGTTTTTAAAAGATTTAAACGTCTTTTTCTGCATTCAAAAACGTTATCATCAAGCTGTTATGACCGATTAGCGTAGACATTTGGCTTTCAAGTAATGGTCATAAGTTCAGACCCAGCTTCATGTACTTCGTCGTAAGTACCCAAGTGGTAGCATAACCCACAAACGTTTAGCTCAACTCGTTGAATATTACAGAAATGTATGCCGGATTGAGTCGCTATATTTTTTTTAGTTTTCATAAGGCTGTCGAGAATATGAACGATTATAATACTGTTAACTAGTTGCTGACAGAATACTAACTCGTATCGTATGTTGTAATCTCAGTGTATTAATCGAACAATGCAGTGGAGGTAATATATTTTCTTATTTAGTGAACTCTGATCACGTTGTATACTTACAATATAGCTACACAGGAGACCAATCGTCTTCTGCATTACTCAGTGATTATATCTTTGCCTTTTGTATAGAATGATATCAGTCTAAATCTAATATTCAACGCAATTGCTTTTGAGGTTACGGATAGGCTTTGATTAACTAGAAATATCCCTTTATTTCTCATACATGTCACAGTAATAAAATACTGAAAATGTTGTGTTTTCCTCATGAAAACACTTCTCCTTGCAAGGCATAAAATAGTCTTCCAATTTTAATCAGTCTATACACTACTCGGCATGTCCTGGTGAATGATTATTCTATACCACTGTCTGTTGAATTACAACTCGGAACTGGCGTAAAAATGTTTCAAAATTAATCTCTTCATCTTTATAAGCTTTGAATTCACTTGCATAATTTGAACGACCCATTTATAAATATACCTTAATATTCTGAATAGCGTACTTAACATAAACGGGAGACATGCTGAAGGGCGTTTGTTTTGAATGACTTTCAATAGGTCTGTTACATCACCACCGCCTTTTAAGTTTCAATTTACAATGATATTCTCAAAGGATTGCTTTATAGTGTAAGGAACACTTTCCGATACAAATATACGTGTGGGCTTTGTCAAAATAGGTTTGTATCTGTTGAAGGTATGATAATTGTATCTCGTTTGTACTTTATCATTAAATATGTCTGGAAAAGACTAGCTTCCATTTAGCTGATGTTTAAATTAACTGGCAACAGTCTATTCTTTCTTTCTGCATAATTAATTCGATTATCTAGGATAATCATAATTAATTGAGTTGTAATCCTCTGTAGTGAGATTGGTAGGGGTTAAAGTTGAGCAAAAACTAGAACGAGAACCATATCCGAATCAATAACTTCTGGATGACCGTCCCAACTACTAATCAGATCGCAGTTCAACTTCAGTCAGTAGTTATCCCGTCAGACTCTTGCATAAACTAAAGAAACTCGTCTAGTCTGTTTCAACAGAGTAATAACCGCTATTCAGTCAAACCTTTGTATACCCGTTTTGCGGAAATTTCATTAAATTTTCTAATGCTGGAAAGTAAATGAAATTTTGTCCTGTTTTTTTGTTTGAAAACCTTTTTTGACTCACTCACTGTAACTTTTATATGGTTTTCTTTCCCTTTCATTTCCCATTCCTGACCTCTATATCATCAATATATCAGAGAAATGAACCATCCTATAACTATACACTTGTTACAAAACTTATTGAATTAATCGGAGACGCCTGCAAAACTGGTAAGCATTTGAATTTTCATTTTATGATTACCTTTTATGTATTAATTTTCAAATTCCAGAAATATTCATTGAGCTTTACCTGCTCGTTTGTTTTTGTGAGTCAACACACCTATGAAGAGTGGCTTGTTGTATATCATCACTGTGCACCTTAACTTCACAATCCTTCGACTTCCTATTTCTTTCAAAGTTAGGAATGAATTCAAATTGGTTTAAATGCAGACAGTTTTCTTTTCTTAATTTCTGTCATTTTCATAACATGTGTAACCAGAAGCAAAAGTGTGATTGTCCGTCCTCTTGTTCCAGAAAACATTTAGGAATCACTATCTTAACTAAAGTGAGATTAGATTGAAATACGATACCCATCGGGGAGTTTCGGTTTGGTTTGGGTTATCTAATGCATGAACCTATACCATATGCCGTTTTTCGCACTCGGCCAGATCTGCAGGCTACTAAACCCTATCTTTAGCTGGACTAAAAGTGTGCATTGACCAATCTAAGGAGGTGAAAATAATGAAGAAATCCTAGTTACTGAATCGGTGTAAAGTTTTCGATGTTGTAAGAATCAAGATGGAAATATGGTTATTCAGTTGACTAGTTTATTTAAGAAACGTGTAACTGACTAAAATTGTCCCATCACTTTAGAAGAAAGCCGATTTTCCAACCATGACTCGGAAATTGCAATCATGAGGTGGTACATCAAGGCTATAAATTACCAGTTGTTAGCATGTTATAGACTGCAAAATACTAGAATAACTCACTGTCAAAGAGAAAGTCAATTTTCATTCAGTTCATGCATTCACTGGTCACATTTATTATTATTATTATTATTATTATTATTATTATTATTATTATTATTATTATTATTTGCCTCTTGGGTTCCTAGTGGAACATAGGGCTTCAGTAGCACGTCATCACTTCACTCTCTTCTCCTCAGTCCTTCCAACCTCACCCCACAACTGCCAACAAGCTTTCATTTCCTCCTCATATGATCTCCTCCATGTCACCCTCGGACACCCAAATCGTCGTTTCCCATTTAGGTTCCACTCGAAGGTGTGGCCTGGCGCGTGATGTCCCCAAACGGTCTTCTCAGTCCATGTTCAATCCAATCCATCTCCACTTTCTTCTGGATCTTTGTTGGGCGATAGGTTGTTGGTTGGTTGGTCCGTTGCCAGCCAGCCAGCCAGCCAGAGTTCCTTGTTGCTTATTCTTATTATTGTGGCCATCCATGTGATCTTCAGTGTTAGTATCGAGTGAGCGTAGGCGGCAGTTGTTGGTGTGTGATGTATGTCTGTAGTTTGTTGGAAATGCCTTTCGTGACGCGCCAAGTCTATGAACCATCACATAGAAGCACTGACTTACTTGACGTTAGTGTTGGGAATCCGGATCTTGTTCAGGCTTTATACTGAGTGCAGTAGATCTCCACGCTGATATGAAATTAATGAAGGCCTGTTTTGGTGTCTTTCCGATCCTGACTTTGACGTCCTCATCTGTGCCGCCGTCGCCTGTAGTTGAAAGGATACTGCCTAGGTAGGTAGGTAGGTAGGTAGGTAGGTAGGTAGGTAGGTAGGTAGGTAGGTAGGTAGGTAGGTAGGTAGGTAGGTAGGTAGGTAGGTAGGTAGGTAGGTAGGTAGGTAGGTAGGTGAAAGAGACTACTTCCTTTCGATTTCTCCGTTGATGATGATTAGTGCTTGTTGTTGGTTGGGTATCTTCATCACTTGTGTCTTCTCTACGTTCACCTGATGGAAGTCTTGTCTTCGCTGCCTCGCCTCGCCTCACTTCGCCTCTTTTGTCAACTTGTTGGTTTTTGCTTGTAGATCTTCGAGTTTATGTGACAAGACATTAGACATAAATCATCATCGTCGGCGAAATCCAAATCTTCTGGGATCTTTTCACCGGTCCAGCCAACGTATGCCCGTCTTCTCGCTCCTCACAGTTTGTTGCATGATCCAGTCCACCACGATCGGGAAGATGATCAGTGTTAGTAGGTGGCAATCTTATCTTACTCCTGTCTTCACTCCAAAGGTGTTATTGAACTTTCCATTGTGAATCACTTGGTATGTAGCTTCATCATATAGCATATAGCTGCTGTTGAGTGAGGTTGATGAAGGTTTTTGACACTAAAATCGAAGTGTTGAAGCAGTTTCTAAATTACTTCTTGGTCGACGCTGTCGAAGGCTTTCTGGAAGTCTATGAAGTTGAAGTAATGTGTTGACTGTTCTACTTAGTTCAAGTTGCATATCGACGTTTTGCTTGATATTGAGATTGCCTCTGATCTTCAACTTATTGAAAAGCGTTTCATTTTTTATTATGTAGCCGTTACCCTTGTCGCTTAAATATCTTCAACCTCTACGGGATAACATCATCTATAAGCATAGATTTCTTTTTGCAGTATTAGTAGAAACCGTGTGAAAGCACATCTTTGATGTCAAACCTCTGGTTGTTGCGTGCATTTGTGTGAGTTTTAAATAAGATCAGTTTTTGCACAGTTGTATATGTCCTATCTATCGTGTCAGCATGACTTCGTTTGACAGCAGTGAAGAAACTCAGCAGTTTCGAAACACTACCAGGTAAGTATGTTTCACGCAAGTATTAAAATGAAATTTTGAAGAGAAAATTTAACTGCAAAAACACTTCAGTTATCTTTTGCTTATGTTCTTAGTTTTTTTCACCTTATTGTTTTTATTATTTATGCACTTTATTTCAACTATATGAGATAGCTGTGGTTTGGTAGACCAGTATTGATATTGGGTGATGATTGAGGGTGAAATGAAAATTCGGACTGCAGCAGGATTCGAACCAGTGACCACCGGAATTTCGGAAACTCTGCTGTATCAACTGAGCCACGAGGTCGGACTCCTGACTAGATTTTTATTTCACTTTGATCACCAAAGATTTTGCCCGACTACCATGTGAATTCGAGAGGTGTTACTATCTCTTGATCGTACTCACATTGGCTTTCTAGTCAGGACTTCACATTCGCAATCTGTTCTTATTTCTGCCTACCATATCTTGACACTATTATCGAAGGATTTTGTTTCAACATGAAAACAGACACTGAAAAATCAATGGTATTTCCACTCCCTACACTGTTCACAATATTAAAATATTTATGTGTACCTACTACAGATTTTCTTTAAACCATTTTTAGATTAAATGAAGTAAAAAAACTACGCAAACTGGAAATTTAGCATGAGTTGTGTTGATTTTATTCGATAGCGTTTGAGAAAAGAAAGATGAATTAGTTCAGCTTTTTTGTATGCACACATCCACAACCTAAGTATGTGTTGTGTATGCTCGACTGTTGCCTACCTCGACAAGCTATGTTGACTGAAGAAGTGGTGTAAAGATGTCAGGTTCATCTGTGTGTGTAGTGTGACACGGATCCGTAAAATATCTGACCGTTTAGTTTCTTTAAAGCAAAGGGAACCATTCAATGAAATGTTTGGAAATCCGCTCCAAAACTGTACATGTTTTCACTCTTTATCGTCTTATAAATTTCAGGCGTAGCATTCATTTACTCGTCTCGTTATTACCGTTGTTTTTATTCGTTCCTCTTGTAAGTTGTCTTCAACTTTGCCTGTTTTTACTTGTGATAACTGAATCCAATCCACTGTTATGCTAGGTCAGTATTCATTTAACCAAACCAATCGTTTTCTACATCTGAAGTTTTAATAAGCTTGTTTTAGAGGTAGTATTCTGGGAACTATTGAAAATCCCAGATTTTCAATAGTTCCGCAACTAATGTCATTTCGTGATGAATACTATCTCTAAATTTTAAATCCCCATTCATTTCAACAAAAGCTTGTTTTAGTTATTCTTATAAAGTGTTATTACTGGGATTTTCTCAAATCATTTTCACTTTTGACCCTATTTAGTCAATTTACATTAGTCATGACCCTTTTTGTTCCCGTATTATAGAAATATTTAGTCAGTTAAATATTTGCTTCGATTAGCAAAATGGCACATGTGATCAATTATAAACTTAATGTCTTTTAATTATGTATAGTAATGATAGACAGTGGCCAGCAGTAACAAGCGATAACATTAATGTCTTTTGTTGTTAAGATAGTCTTATAGAATACTGTAGTTTCACAGGTTTCATTTGTGCACTTTGGTATCTATCTTGCATATTGTGTTTAGGTTTATCTAACGCCTGTTAAACGTTAGTTATCACATTTTATGTTTCTGATGTTATTTGTTAGCGATTGTTGAGGAAATACTCAATGTTTCATCACATATTTCGAAACGACTAGCTTTCGGTCTGTTGTGCAATAAACAGTGTGCTCTAGAGAAGTTTTCCTCAGTGTCTTCATGTTATGGTTGCATTTTCACTAGGTAAAAAGGGATGCAAGTGGTTGTTTTCTGCTACAGTTTTACATTGTTAGACCTCGAGTTTTTAAGTCATTTAGTTAGAAAGCTGTTTGCGTGCCCGCATTCAGATCCACTGGAGGTGACTGACCTACTGACATGTACCTAACAGGCTACCCTTGGAGAGTACAATGCCTGGCATTGCTCCTCTGTATTGTTTCTCATAGTCTTTTTCACAACCACTTACTGACAAAAATGAATAACTACTTTTGATGCAACTTAGTTTGATCAAAACAAATGACTAATTGTATCTCATTTCAGGACAGCTTTACTGCTTTTTTTGTAAGGAAACAGCATCTCCTAAGTGTTTGAATTTTTATGATTTAGCTTGCATGTGAACGAGTACTTGTCAACACTACTTAACTGTTTTCTTTTCTTCTCATTCAACAATTTCAACACCACTTTTATGCTGACAAATATTAACAGTGTTATTGTGTATAAAATTGGTAGGCAGAAAGAAAAAACTATTTGTGAGGACTGAATTCGCCTAAAACAACTGAGCCTACTGAATTCACTTCTTCGAGAAATGATAGTTTTCTGCAGACTTTTACTTTTAAACACCTACTGATA